AAATGTTCCGATACACGAAAACCGCCCGCGCATTCGCAGCGTTCTGTCGATAACGCCCGCAACTTAAGTGTCCGACCTCAGTGCAACTGCCCTAACCATCTTTCTCCGCACCTGGGGAGAATCTTCGCCGGCTCACGGCTCTTCTCTGCCCCATTGCTCCCTCGCTTCTCTTCATCCTCAATCTTCTCCGACTCCGACGCGACACCCTAGGCTCCCCACAGCGGGCGATGCTTCTGGCCACGCCCCGTCCCTACTCCAAAGTTCGTCCGCTCGCCCGACAGTGCGCTCTGCTAGTGCCCGATGTCCACGTCCGCCCTACGTCTCCGTTGCCAGGTCCTCCTCGCCTCCGCCGCCCGCTCCCTCGTACACTTTGACTCCCTGCGCACTGTCGTCTGCCGCCTCATGGGGTCTGCTCGAGCGCCGTGTGCTGAGTACTACCTGCAATGGGTGGCGCGACCTCTGAGCCCAAGTTCGCAGATGCTCCGCTCGCACGCGCGGCTACGAGCTGTCGTAGGTACTCTTCTCTTGTAGTGTCCCTCGCGAGATGGCGCCGCTGGACAGGGTACAGCAACCAGTCGGCTTGCTCGGCGATGTCGAGGGTGATAGTGGTGATGCCGTCGATGATGTGTTCCGCCGGTACCGACAAGATATCTGCACTCGTGACGGGATCACCCGTGAGCCTCCCGAACTGCAGTTTACCCGACTCGAGAGCCCAGGTCAGCTGCGTACGGCGCAGCACAGAGCAAAGGACTCTCTTTGCCGTCTCGAAATCTTTGTTTCGTTGCTGGAAATAGCGGATACGAAGGTAGTGCATGTGCGGGGAATCAACGACGGCTCGCAAGGCATCCCAATCAAGGGTATCCATGGCTTCGACATTCTCGAATGAGAGTTGGAGAGAGATGCTCTCGACATACGCGAGTGGAGGCCCCGCATCCTGGCCCGCCGCGCTCGGTCGGCAAACCTTGATGGCGGCTGCGAAATAATCGCCCTTAAACCCATCTTGATCATACGAATGGCTCGAGATGATCAACATGTCTAATGAGGAATAGCTAGTGAGATCTGCACTTTATGCATGTGCTGGAAGGCATACCATACATACTGCTATTCGGACCACAAAACTTCACAGACGCTCTTTCGAATGTGTTTGGTACCAATGCAAACAATGCTTGAAAATTTGCATCCCATGCGCTCTCGTCAACGCCCATGCGACGATTCGGACCAGCCGCAAGGATGTCAACAGCTAGCGCCGCTTGGTCAGAGACCGCCATATCCTTACACCGTGAGATATGGCACTTCCAGAGGACCGATGGAGCACGTCGGCGAGCTCTGCGTGACTGGGCAACCGGTGACGAGTCAAGGAAGGTGAGTTGGTCGCAGATGCAGTACCTGAGCGTGGAGAAATTGTCGATGAGCCGTGCGAGCTCGGTCGTGGTTGTGAACACAACGCCTTGGAGGGTAAGATCTGAGAGTCTGACGTAGGATGGAGTGACGTTGGGGATCGATTCAAATGGGGCCCAACGGCAGGGCGCAGATGAAGGATCGCCCGCGGGGCTCACGACGGTACAGTTGAATCTTGTGTTCCGGAGACGGGTTGAAAGTCCGTGGACATGGTGAAGCCAAGATTTCGCCTCTGTAGTTTCTTGGTGGATTTGTACCCACCGAATGGCCTTGGACAGAGACGAGGTTGTGAAACTGGGACTGGTGACGATGTTCTTGAGGAGCCGTACGTCTTCGGGGTTGCGCAACTCGAGTGTGTGAAAGAGGAAAGGTCTGATGACTTCGGACCAGTACTTGCATACGAGGCTGGGCGCGATGAGCTTGGGTTTTTCCCGGCGACGTTCGGCCAAGCCACCTTTGCGATAAGTTGGCCTGACGCAAGCGAGAATGTGTGACAGTATCTCAGGCGGCAGATCATCTCCTGTAACGCGCGACATCTTTCAGAGAGAAAGAGGACACACAGAAGAGGCTGCAGGATATGAAAACGTGAGTACGAGTATGGTGTATGCGGGTGGAGGGCGGACGATGCACCTGCGCCGTCCTGCGACGCTATATCAGAGCATGGCACAGCCATTCGCCTGATGTGTACAATGTTCACAAGTACACCATCTCGCAGTGTTCCCTTCAATTTCATCGCCTCATGGGCGTCCCCAGGTCGTCTGCGAGGAAGCGGCTGGCGCTAGAGGTTGTCAATTTCTGACGTCTCGTGTGAACGTGGGAGCATGCAGGGAAGTGCGCCAATTGGTTGTCCAATGACAAGTGTCACAAGGCGTGCACTGCCTACTGGGTGGTAACCAGGCAAGACGTGTGTGGTGGTGTCACTAGCGGCAGAACGGCTCAGCCGGAAGCCACCTGCGTAGCCCTGCCGCTCACGCATAGGTAGTCATCGCTTAGGCAACGCTGCAATGTCGTCATCACAGCCAACACTTCAATATTGGCTGCTATCAAAAGTCTGCGATTAGTCGCATGTATGTGCACCAAGCTGCAAGATACATACATTGTGACCGCTCAGCGTCGTTTATCTTCTCGTTCGCATGATAGAGCTTAACTACTACTAGTAGCGACTAAAGGGTATCCTCGGCTTCGTACTTCGTGGCCGACAAGCAAGCTCGCGCCCCTACCGCGTCGAACGTGACTTGAGACAGCGAACGGCCATGCAAGATAGAGGGAACTTACATTGACAGCATCGGGTTGTCCCAAGTCGCGCACCTCACGTCCATTACGGCGTATGAAGAGGAGTGAGCACGAATCAGGCAGTTGGGGGCAAAGAAATGAACGGCTGTTTTTGAGCTACCCGTGTAACTGGTAGAACTGCCCGGCTTACATGGCCCCTATCTCATGTCGTCCTCACGGGCTCGCGCCCGGCCCTCCACCATAGCGCGATACTTGTAAGCACAACAGACACGAAAGACGTCAGTTGCGGACTTACTAACAACTGAACCAAGTCAAGACCTGCCGAGGTCATCGCTCTCCGTACATCTGTCTGACCGGCGACTCGAGAGCGAGGCACAGCACAAGATGACGGCGATTCATCAACGTTGTCGAGATCGCAGACATGGCATTCGTGGTACCGCGCTGAGGAAGGCCGTTCTGGAAGGAGTGACATTAAGCCAGCATAGAGGACGGGGACGGAAAACGGAACGTCCACGTACCGTCGCACGACCTAGCATGCGCCCGCCCGGCCGCGCAATCTACTCGCGCATGTTCAGTCTCAGGCTCTCGACCACCTTGCGGTCTACTTGCCTTGCAGATCTCCCTTACCAGGGCGAGAACTGCAGCTTCATCTCGAACGTGAGACTTAATTCGGCCCTCATCTGGCTCCTTCGCCCTGGCTTCTCACAATGATCTGTGGTTAGTCGTATATATGCGCCCAAAGCAGAGGAATACACACTCGGCGGTCGCTCAACGTTGTCCGTCCTCTCGACCGCGGCTGGCGATTCAACGGAGCTTGATGGCCGCAACTACCGTCCAGGCTCCGTCCTGTGCAACCGACGAGTGAGCTCGCGTTCTTGCTATGCTACAGAATAAAGATGCCTGTAGTTTGATGTCAGATAGCAAAGGTAAATGAGACAGTGACTTGGCGTACCACGTGCGACTAAGTCGTCTTGGGTCGTGTGTCCAGCTGTCCAACGCGTTCGATAACGACCCAGCGCAGATAGAATCGAATAGAATGAGAGATTTTCTTGGACCTTCTGCACGCCTCTTGGGGTTATCTAGCCAACTTGACCCGCGCCTCGTGTTTATAGCCCTCGCTCTGCCCGCCCAGTCGTCTACGATTTGCAGAATTGACTCAAACGCAACAAGGCTTTATGGCGTGCAAGAACCTTACTCGTTCCGCCGAGCACGCAGCGGCTCAGGCAGGCCGCGGGATCGCACACCACGCTGCAGAACCTGTGCGAGATCTTCGTCTACGACTGAGCCGGGGTCGCGCGATAGCGTACGGATTGCGAAGCTTCCCGGCGTGCTCGACGGCGGAGCCACGTCGAGGAATTGGCCCGTCCACAAGCCTTCTGCCACTTGCGTCTTCCCATCGTACGGAGCGAGCTGGTGGGCATGAGTTGGCGGGTTTGAGCACAATACTAGCGGAGGTGATTACGAACCTGACGGCGCATTCCAACTGCAAGCATCCCTCTCCAAAAAATGACTCCCACGCTCACTCTAGACCGCTCTATGCCACGCAGACGGCCCCATTCGAGAGCCTGGGTCACTGGGCGCACCGGCGCATCCTGGGCGACCGCCCGCATGACCCATCCAGCGACTTTCAGATCTGCAGTTGACTTCGATGTTTTCGACTGGTTGTTGCATCGGCACAGACGGGAAATGTGTACTCAAAAATAATGCGTACCACGTCCTTGCGCTGTGTTTGACGGGCTT